AAGTTTAGAGTGGCCTGTCGGGACGACAGTCACATTCTTGAGTTTTTTGAGTTTTTTTTTGTACTGACCTGTCGAGATGACAGTCACATTTATTTTGATATGATTCATTATACAAGATTTGCATAGTTTGAGTTAGTATTTAGTTTGTGTTAAGTTTAGTAGTTAAAGGTAGTATTTAGCTTAATGGTTAGGGGTTAGTTGTTATATTAGTGTTTTATTTAGCGATTAAAAGAATGCTTAATTTAATAATAAAATTTAGTAGTGTTTTAAAAATGTTTATTATGTTGTAAAAAGTTGATTATAAGAAACTTTTAATAAGATTAATTATATGTTAATGTAATTTATAAAGTTTGGAACCGGGTTAGACAAAACCAAGTCAACTACAGATGAATTGCTTGTCTAGCTAGGGAATGACAACTTAGATAAAAATTTATAATCAGCTTATTAATGTAATTGAATTAGTTTTTTGGTAACTTAGTTAGCATTTCAAATTCCCTTTATATATGTATAAAAATTTATATTTTAAAGTTTACAAATTAAAATATAAAAAGTTTAATTTTTCAACAGATTCTTTAGATAATGCATGTCTACGATCATTTAAAATATTCTTATAATCACTAAAGCTTCTTTCAACATCCACACCAGAAATAGGAAGCCAAATATATATTAACGCTACTTGTGCTAAATTAGGTAAAATATTTTGTTTTTCTTTTCAATATTCGTCTAAACTTAACTTGTTATCTATTGATTCATTTAATCCACAATAAATTCCCCATTCTATTATAATATCATTAGTTGGATTTTGGAATTGAGAAATAATACTATATAATGTAAGGTTATGTCTACTACTAGAATCATGAATATACGAAGGATTAAAACATTGAACTGCTTCAAAAAGAGAATATGTTGAATGTGAATTAATATGTTTGTTAAATTTTTCTAAAGCTAATTTAAATGCTTCTGAAAAAATACATTTTAAATTACTTTTATCTAAGGTTAAATTTTGTATTTGTAAAATCATTTCATTACTAAATGGTGGATTATTAGAACCATTTTGTAAAAAAGCTTGTGTTTGTGTTAGCCGTGATATAACAAATGGTGCTATTGGCTTGTTTCTAATTTTAAAAAACTGCAAATCTATTATTAACCTATATAATAATATTTCAAATTAATTAATATATTGTAAATAAATAAATTATAAATATAAACATTTATTAGTATTACCTCTGTGCATTGAAGTTAATAAACATTATTAAAATTGTTAAATGAGAAACTTGATCTTTTTGTTGAAATATAGTAACCAATTCTTTAAGAGCCTTATTATTTTTGTCCAATTGATATTCTTCTTCAAAAAAAGATTTAAAATATTGAATATAAGAAATTGTCCAATCAATAAATTTAAACCAAGAATTTCATCTTGTTTTAACAGGTAAAGATGGAAGTGTAATTTTAAAATCTGATGAACTAGAATTAATTGAAGTTAAATATAAAAGCCATCTTCTTTTTCTTGCTATTGAATATGAAAATATAATTTTAAAATTTTTAACAAATTGATTAAGTAAATTAAAATTTTCAAAATTAACCCAAGTTTCACCAACTAAATTAAAAATATGAGCTAAACAAGTATTATGACATAAGGTAGGTATTAAAGGAAAAAGAATATCCTTAAATGCTTTAATCATGTAACTTGCATTATTACTAATACTTGCATTATTACTAATAAAAAGAAGTAAACGATTATAAGGAATATTATAAAAAAAAATTATATTAAGAACTACTTGAGAAATTGTACTATGATTAACAGTATCAAGAAAATATATTTTAGCTAATTTAGTATTATTTTCATAGTTAAATAAAATATTAACTACACTACGGCCACAGCTATCTGAAGTTTCATCTACTGTAATAGAAATATACTTATTAATTAAATTATTTTTTAATTTATCAACTTCCATTTCATGAACAATTGATAAATAATGTTCTCTTAATTGATTAGCACCAACTATCGCACCTCCTATAATATAAAATTAATTAAATTAATAATAATATTAAATAGAATAATATTTAAATTAAAAAAAATTTATTAGTTTACACATAGTGATTATACACGGGTATAATTTATTAAATTACAAATTTTTGTAATATTTCAATCAAAACCATTTTTTACAAATAAAAAATTAAACCCTTGCTTATAGTTAGAGTAAGGGTGGATTTGGAATTAGGCAAGGTATAACTTATACCAAAATGTCACAAGGAATTTTTTTTGTTAGAAGCCAAAAGATGGCTTTATAATCAATATTTTGAGATATCTATATTACCTGTGTATATACACCTTGTATACAAATTGAAATTCTCTAAATTAAATTACCATTTTTGCAATGCTTTAAAAAAAAGGACGAAGCTTTTCCACTTTTTCAAGTGGTATATCAGCAGCGGCAAATGCTTTAATAAGATCAAAATTAATTTCTTTCTTTTCAGATAAAATTGATGAGGTTGCTTGAAAAGATTCTTTATGATTTTCCAATTTTTGTTTATTATTATGATGTGCTTTAGATTTTAAATGATCATCTACACTAGATTTTTTATTCGCAGTTACAACATGCTTGCAAGCAATACAAAATAATTTTTTATCATCAAGATAAAATTCTTGTTGATAGTCTGGATATTTGTTAAAAAGATATTCGCCAGTAATCATTTTATCAAAGAGTTGTAAAAATTTAAATTTGTAATATACAATTACGATAGAGTATAAATATTAAATAAATTATTTAATAATTCAAAAATGCTAAAATCCAATTACTTCCCAATTTTACCATACAAAAGCAATATTGAAGAAGTTTCATTTGACGGCACCAGGGAGCCTCTCCAAAAGTTTGATTGATAATTAATGTCGCTGCCGCAGCATATAATATCAAATGACATCAATCATCAACCCGTACTTCAGGGGGACACCCTGGTGTCATCATTTTTATTTCACTATTGCTGTATTGGGTAATTAATATAAAAATTATTGGCCAATCATCAGAACAATAACTTCGCTACTTACTATATTTAGACATTTATAACTAATAATGATAATTCTGCTTTTTCTGCTTATTCAGCTTTTTTTTAGGCAGAATCAGCAGAATTTGTACATATTTGTGCAGATTCCGCGCAGGCAGAAAACTGGACACTCTAGTCAGGTGTAACTACAAGCACCTGAAGTTCCAACTTTAGTCGGATGCTAACTTCAGGCACGACAACGTCATAGCATGTTAATCCTACCTTTATAGTATTAGGCATTATGTACTAGCGTATGACCTGTGCCGAAGGCACGGGTTAGGTATAACTTTTTATCCGTGTGAGTTAAAAAGTTATTTTAATTATTTATCATAAAACATTAATTGGAATCTTTGCTGACAAAATCATCCTTTGGAACTATGATTTACATAGTCCCGAAGGGTGATCTTGTTAGCAAAGGTCCCAATTTATTATTTTAAATAAGTGAAGGTTTTAAAAAAGAAAAAAATATTCAGAAAGTTCGTTTTACTGAGGAGTTAATGCTTTTTATACTGAAAAGCTATAAAATTTGAAATTTTTGAGGTTGATATAAAGAGGTTTATTACAGTATTGTATAAGATTAGTTGCGCACGAAGTAAATAAGTTTAATAAGTTTGTAAGTAGTTTTTCTAATTTTTTTTTTATATGTTAGAATTGAATTATTGTAAATTTTAGGATTTATTCAGGTTAAAATAAAAATATAAATGTGAAAATAAATTTTAATTTAAGTTGATTTTAAACTCGGTATCGGTATTGTAATAAATCGTTAATTTTAATATTTAGTAACTGAATTAAATGTTGAATAACGATAACGTATGATCGAAGTGATGGCAGTTAAAGTAGATTATAGGCATTCTCAATCGCCTCGATCAATGAGCCAAATGTAGGAAGTATGTCGGGAATTAAATTTTAATTAGCGGAAAGTATTTTTAACCGATCAAAAATGCTTGTCATTAAGGTGAATAATGTTCAAAACACATGTTAGTGGTTTATTTGAGTTAAGAAAAAATTTCAATAATGAAAAAATGATTAATGAGTTTATTATTTCAGTTAATGACACGAATTAGTGTATTT